GACTATATTGAAACTTATCAACATATACCGATGCCTTTCGAACAGTGATAACTTCTCTCAGTTCCGTCTTAAATGATCTGTTAAGAGTGTCCCCGTTTGTACTAACTTTTCACGCTAAAGGTAGGTACAGATCAACAAGAAAGTATAATAGTAATCAGGAAGTGGTCCGATTTATTTATTCTATCAATATACGGACATTTTCATTACAACCACTCCAATAGTTCATTAAATAAATGAAAGATTCAAGTTATTCATTATAATATTGAATTAGAACAAAAGCAATACAGATCTTTAGTAATTAGTCGACCGTTACCAAGGAACGATAGCTTACAATTTGTTTAACAAATGAGGCATCAGCTGGGCCCAAATAGCCTCCGTTTAATATTGAAATGGGAAGACTCGCTTATTTACTCGAAAACAAACAAAAATAAATTTATTCAGACTGACAGCATCCGAAAGATACTAAATTTAGTTTTTATGAATATCTGCGTATTATTTTTAAAAATGTAAAAATTTAATTATCAGTTTGGCAATTGCCACTAAATAAATGCAAATGTAGAGTAAAGTCTTTTTGTGCTATTTTAGGGTACCTGAGGTTCATTGTAGTAATCTTTTAATCTTCTATTCTATGCAACTGTTTTGTTTACATATCATAATGACGTCATGAATATCATTCACAATTATATGTAACATAATCCTATTATTGTAAATGGACATAAACTGAACGTAATAATTTCCTGTTTTTCTTACATAAAAGCAATACGAATACATAATTTAATATTCGCGGGTATAAAAAGAAGTTTAAACTTTGATTTATATTTTCCGAAACGTGTTTATTTTTCCGAAATATTTGTAAAACCTTTTTTAAATTAAAATAAAGTATTATTTCAAACAGATTAGAATACCGTTCCTTCCGCGGCCAATACGTCTATCACTCTCTGTCGGAAAATGTGCTTATTTTCCAGTATGAGACGTAAACTTAAAGGTGTGTCCACATTACAAGGTTACTCGTTTGGTCACACTGATTGACAAAAATGACCTTAATGAAAGTTAAATTAATTTGAATGGGATATTTTGTATCTACAATTAGCCTGTTAATAATCTGCCTTTTTAAAAAATTTCAGTCACCCTCAGTTTTCTTGCAACTGCAATACACTTTTTTTAAGTAAATATGGTTGAAAATTGAAATTAATCAAGAAAAACAACTAACATTTGACTTTTATTCAGGATTTTCGGGAATATTTAGCGTCAGGTACATCTCTTTTGAGTGTCCAACAGAAATCAGCCAACATGTTCGGACTCCACTTGCCTTGGTACCGTTTTTCCATGTTGGATATATCCTGATGGAATGTAAGTTGACCGCAAATGTAACAAAAGTTACCAGGATGCTTTACACACACTCTGGGCATCTTATTACGATGTACAGAAATGACAATCACAAAAAAAACCGTTTTTATTTCAATAATTAAATATTAATTTATCGGAAACATACATCTGTAAGCAAAATTCGCGTAATCAATTTAGTTTATGTTTAACGAAAACTGAGGGTGATTGAACAAAACTAAGTATGAGGTTTATATGCGGGTAGGTAGTAGTGTTTAAAAAACCGACTCGATTTTGTTTAACAAAAATACTGTTTACCAGTGTCATTAGTCACAAGGCAGCCTTGCGGTATGCTCAAATATCATCTACTGATGCGTATCTACGTTGTGGGACTGCTTCTTTGAGTAGTAAATCTCGCGTTGCACTCAGTTTGCATAATAGCAATTAATACGATCGAACCACGTCGAAGTCCAGTCCAAGTTAAATCCAGTCCACGTCCAACAGTGGACACTTTCCTGCTGAAATGATGGCCATGCGAATGCTTACTTAATAACCGAATCTCAATAGAGTTGCATTTTCCCATTGTATTATTTATCTAAAATACAAAGCTATTAGTGCAATTGCTTCCACACCCATGGTGAGAGATATATAATAATATTGGACTTCAGGTAAATTTTAGCATGGCTAAATGCAAGTTGAGATTCTGTTGATATGCGATTATTACATAAACATTAGCGGAATAGCTTGCAGGCGTTCGCTCATATGAGGCACGTTCAAATCGTTCCGCGAGGCAAACACATTTCATCGCAAGGCTACTTTGTGAGGCGGACTCGCAATGTGAATACAGGCCTTAAAAATTTGGCGGGCGAATCGAATTAATGAAATTTTAAGCAATTTCAAAGATTAACAGTATAATGATTAAAAGGAAATCCAATAACGAATCTGAGAGTGATCGCTTACAATCTCTCAGTTCCTTTTGACGTTAAAATTTTATAACCATTATAAATTCTAAAGGGTTTGACAAAGACTTTATTAATTGAATCGATACTCCTGTATATCGAGAAGGCTGTTTTGAGCATTATCGCAGTCTCAATAAGTGCTTTTTTAAGTTAATTAAAAAGTTTCCTTAATCAAAGCGAATGGTTTCAATAAATTTCCGATATAGATTTTTAAGTAAATCAGAAATTGTTTTAGTAAAGGATTTTTTGTAAAAGTTATACAGTCACAATTAAATGTAACATAATCCTATTATTGTATTATTGTAAATGCTGTAAATTATTGTGAAAAAATTAAACTGAAAATAAAAAAAAAATCTTTTTTCTAACATAAAAGCAATACGAATACACAAATTAATATTGGACAACATCACGTATATTATATTATCGAAATGAGAAACAAAAAGGTTACATAACACTTAGACTCGATTCAATATAAAAAGTTCTATTTCTTCTATTCTTTCTTTCTCAAGACCAGCGTACGAGCCACTCGGTAAAGCCTAGATACTCTATTCTATTTAATACTTTGTTTTGTTTTAACCTGTTTCCATAATAAACTCAGCAACGAGTAACTATATCCTATTTATCTTGCAATTAACAGAAGCTTTTTATTATGAAAACGTATACTCATGAAGGGATCACAAATACTCATAACATTCCCCGACGGGTGAGGCAATTTAATATAACTAATACTGATACGAAAACAGAGATCCCGAGGGACCGTAGCAACCCTTTTAACAAATTGATACAACTCTAGTATCAGGATCCCAGAATCCGTCGGTCGGGACAACAACAATCGTATATTAGAAACTGTAATGTAAAGTTACAGATAATGCGAGTGCGGTCTACACATAATAATTACTTAAACATACCTATATAATGCTTTTGTTCCATAGAGTTTAAAAAGTAGGTAATGCTAAGAAAAATATTGTAAATGAATTCCTACATATAATTTCTGGTAAACTTAGGTAAGTCTATCTACGCATAGAGTGGAGAGCACTCATTGCTTCCATTCCAGGACCATCCACCAAAAGTGAGGGTACATCGGAGAGGGGGGTTTGGTGGGTATGCCATCCCACACACGCTGCCACCTGTCAAGCTTCAGGGACAGTGCGTAAAGTGGGTTATAGTTTACGAAATAAAAATATGAAAGTGTGCATATAATTTCTGCATAATATCAACTGATTAAAGCTTAAAGTCGGTTGAAATTACTTTGCCATTTGTAACAAAGTGATATATTCCCGATAAACATTATATTTACATTTATATTAGATTAGGGAGTATTACGATGTTAATTATAGACTATATAACAATTATAAAGCATATTTATTAATTCCTTCATCAATACAAAATTTTAAGTGAGTTGTTCATTATGAATAAGCAACATATGATTTATTTTTTATTGCCTCATCCATCGCACGATAATAAAAAGTTAAATTAATATCTAATTGTCCGAAAAACCGACACAGCGGCGATCATCCATGATTATCGCCGATCATTGGCCAATATAGGGATCACGTCTTCTACACAATCAAATGGCCTGTGATCGCCTATCATGGGCCAGTATGTAGAGGGCCTATCAGAATGATGTGTCCACCACAGCGTCACTTGACTTTAGCTTTTGTCATAATACATTTGTTATATTGAAATTTGGGTCGATCCTGACAAATCTAACTATCTACTACGCAATGCAAAAATTAGGTAACCAATTACAATACATATTAGATAATACTTATTACTGACAATTATATAAATATTAAATATAATTCTTGAATCAATATCAATATTTTATAAAATACAAAACTGATGTTTTTGACAGCAGATACAAGAACAGGAGTTTTATTATTAATTTCTTTCTACGTTTTTCTTTTCATTTCTGATAATGTTTTTAAGTCTGTGACTTAAATATCAAACACAAAATTGATGCCAGTTATTTTGTACCATTTTTATTTTTAATTTGGGTTTGTTTTAATGTTTTACTAATCACATGTAATCAATAATAGGCGTTATACTCCTATATATTATTATAATAAGTTTATTTATGTTATATTCTTATTTACAGAATCGGAAACTCCACTATAGTCTAGTTGTTCAACAGAATTGCCACCATTCAAATACTGTTTTACTTACAGAGCGTTACAAAATGAAAGTGTTTTATTTAATAATTATCTCGCAAGTTAGACCAATTGCAAAAAAATAATAGAAACAATGCAAGCATTGACAATGAATTACAATAATAACTATATTTCGTTTTTTTAATATGGCCCCCTGACCTTTGCTTATCCTCCATTTTACGTAAGCGGTAGTTGACATACGTAGTTATTGTTTTACTGACATTTAATTATGTGTCAATTTACTTTGTGTAACAATAATAAAGGCTTTTTACTCTTTTTAGTTACATTAATTGTATTTAATAATTTAATCAGCTCACTCAATTAATTTTGTACGCTATTGTATAAAATTGTACAGCTTAAAATATCATTTTTATATTTTTGAAGCCAACTAGTTCGAATATCACACTGCTGTCAAACCAAGGAGCTATACACTGATATAAATACAGTCTCCTTGCGGCAATCTCTGGCCGGACACGCCGCATATTCAACGCTAGTTAAAAATACAATCAGACAGGTCAATGACGTTTGGCCTGTTACCCAACAAACCGACAACTTTTATCAACCTACAATGGACATTAACGAGGATATGATCAAGGAAGAGGTCAGCAGTTTTGTCACAAGCTTACAGAAATTACTGCCGAAGAAAAAGGAGTTCATTGTCATTGAGAAACAGAAACCTAAGTTGATAAGACTCAGTGATGTCCACGCAGAAGCAAAAAGTGTCTTCCCGACTTGTTTTACCGGCGCTAAACTGGTTGTGTTGAGAGAAATGCTGGATAAAGTGAAATTAGTTCAACAGTACAATTACGGTAGAACCAAGGAACCTTACAAATGCTTCAATCAATTAATCCATAAAGAAATGGAGCCAAAACATGCGGACGAAGGTCTCGTGGTTGACTCGTCTGGTTCAGCTACGGCTACGTATACGGAAGTGCTCGATGGTGCATACCAAATGCGGTTAACGTCCAAGATCAAAGATTTGGTGTCATCGGAAACGGAAATGGTAATAGAGAGAGAGCATGAAAAATCTGTCGGCTCTATCTCATGTTGTGTGAAAGATGTAGATCCCAATACATTACGGTTTGTGACCCAGTGGACTTACAAAGTTGTGCCGGATTTCAGTGTGGGAACAGAGCTGAACTTTAGACCACTATCGTTGCCTGCTGTACCTGATCTTTCATTAAGTGCAAGATATGAAAAGGCCTCTTTTACTTTATCGACAACGGTGACCCGGACCGGCTTTCAAGCCTGTCTGTATAAGCAGTTTACCCCTGACCTCAGAATAGCTACAATAGTCAATGAGAGAACTCAAGGACCTACAACTATAGGTGTAGCTCTTCACAAGAAATACTACAACGGATCAGAATTGAAAATTTTCGTGGACTCCTTACATTGTGGTGGTTTTACTTTCCAAAAGGATGTATTGTTTCATGAGGGCATTAACGAAGTTCGAGTGCTGAGAATCATAGGGAGCACTCTCATAGACAAACAGAAGAGAGTGCGTTTTGGTTTCGGATTAAATTTGGACTTCTGACCTCCACGCTGCTGTCTTCTTGCGAAATTGGCGATAAAATTTTTTTAGAATTATTTGTTTGTATATAAGTATACATAGGTTTTAGTTGTTTTATCTTGTTATGTCTTCCGTTTCGAAGTCTGATTAAAAATTATAGATAACATTATCGTTTATTTGGCAATCGCAATGACCTACTGTAAACTAGTTAACGTGAAGGCCAGATCAAAACTGTTTATGCTCGAAAACTGGCGATTTGGGGACACTTAAGATGACTTAAACGACTTGAACTTTAAAAGTGAGGACATTTTATGAAATTTGAAACTGTTAGCAACGATATTATGTATCTGAGGACTCAAAATGAAAATATTTTCTTATATGTATTGGATAGTGTTCGCTTATAGTTTAACGTGATTTAGATAATCTAAATTTAACAAGATTTTGGTTTTCTGCATTTGTTTGATTCTGACTTACAGAGTGATCTCTTTTAGTAAGAGTCAAATAAAACGGCTGCTAACGAGTCGAACTTTTAGTCATTTGAAGTAATAGCTTCCACGTTTTGATGAATTGCTTTCTATTTAAGTTAAAAAGGAGTCCCTCTTTAATTTAAATAGGATTTTGTTTTTAAATCTTTGCTCAATTATTTCCCAATCCGAGAATGACCTTATAAATTTTAGAAAATCATATGAGATTTTTATCAGAATTAATAGTAATGGATTGGAATTATATGTATCAATCAAAATAAGAATATTCAACTGTTTATATTTGATTCGGGTAGTATAGAATGTACACACTAATGGTTTTAGACTAAAACCAAATTTAAATTAGGGTCAGACTACGGCGAAGCGAAAAGAAGGGTTATGATTTTGGCCGGTATGTGTGTAAAAATGTTTATCTGTTCCTTTCGAACTCCGAAAATATTCATCGTGATTGGACAAATGAGGCATCATTAGAATATCTATGTGACGTTACATTAAATTGGCTCTAGAGGGCATAAAGTAAGTAACTAATAAAATATATTATTCAATCATTCCGTGTAGGGTATCAAATGAAAGAGCTTAATTGGCACATTTCAAATAATAGCTTTTGCTCAAATACACCCCAAATATATCAAATAAAAAAAAAATTTTGTTTTATTATGATCAGTGGAATACGACTACGCTGTCCTTTGGACATCGCTATCATAATATAGCTAAGGCTATTAAATAAATTTCTTGTTTAAATTTTTTTAGAGCGTGATTTAGCTGTAGTCGGGTTTTAATTTATAAACGTTTTTTTGTTTAGAACGTAGAATAAAATTGCATACCATTGTCTTAAATTTTATTTTAACAATTATGCACTCACTGAATTATATTTAACGCAATCTTCACAATTTCTAGTAAGTACAACATTTTATGTGGTCTCAGCCACAAGTAATAATGGCGCACTGTAATAAATTCGTCATTTTATAGTCTACGCCTGTAAAGTGAGCTATGCCTCATATCATGAATAATGAATACGGTGATGGTTAGCTTTAAAAAAACCTGCCAAGTGCATGTCGAACTCGCGTAACGAAGGCTCCGTGTGAATATTAATTTTTAAGAACCCGTCAATTTCTTATAATTGTTTCAAAAAAATATTTCTATAATTATAAAAAATAAATTAAATATTTATACAACATTGCTCAGATTCCAAGATGAGTAGCTAAAACGTCCGTATTATGGAGTATCTGAGACAACTATCATTATAGTTAATGAAAAGTTTGATTGAAACAATTTAGTTAATTAAATTTTATTTTTATTATTAAAAAATAAAAACATATCAAGTAAGTTAATTTTTCCATAATTATTAATATTTAATTCTTAATATTGTTATAATATTTTAATATTAGGTGTATTTTTAGTTGATGTATTTAAAAACTGCAGGTGCTGCAGGCTCAACATTCGTATCAGCAGCGAGCAGAGATTCCCAACTCTCGGCTAACGCATTCAAGACCATGTTCTTATTGTACAAACGATTGATTTCTTATTATGGAAGCTTTTAATACGTTCGCCTGTAATTTATAGATAACAGATAGATGAGAAATTTTGGTCCGCAGTTAGAAATTAAGAGGGGAACCATTTTCGCCTATTTTCTTGAATAACTTCAAAACAAATCCTAATAATAATTTCAAGAACTTCTTTAATGACGAGTCTAGTACTAAGTACATTTGATTTCTATACACACTACGTGAGTAATAAGGCACTTATTAAAGCGCTTCTAATAAACATCTAATGATCTACCGAAGAAGAAGAGAAAGTGTAGTTGATCCCATATCAGACTTGGCGGTTTTAGATTGAGAGCTTAATATTGAGAGTGTAGAACGGCTGTATGTCATAGTGTGATGTCATTACAGTAAGTGAACTATTAAAAGTTATACATTATTTTTAAAAGTTGCTCCTTACATAAATTGTACTTCTCGTGGGTACTATATTATGGTACTACGAGGGTCAAACTGAAAGTTCTTAGAAAATCAAAAACTGATTACATTAGCCAGTTATTAGTTTTATTATATCTTTTCAAAATATTGTCCATTCACGTCAATACACCGCTGCATGCGATGGAACCACTGGGAAAAGCACTTTGCCCACTCGTCCTTAGGGGTCTCTTCAATGGCATCGCGATACGCAGCCACCGCTTCTTCAGCATTCATAAACCGCTTTCCTTTAATTTTTGGAAATAAATAAAAATCACAAGGCGCGAGGTCGGGGCTATACGGCGGGTGACCCAGTAATTCAACGTTTGATGTCGCCAAATAGTCGATCGTTCGCTTGGCGGTGTGCGACGAGGCGTTGTCGTGGTGAAGGAGGATCCTACTGCGAGGTCGTTTCTCTCGAACTTTTTCCAAGACAAGTGGCAAACAATTGGTAGTGTACCATTCTGCAGAAACTGTTTTTTGATCCTCTAACACAATTGTTGCAAAATGACCTATCCTTCCAAATAACGAGGCCACCATTTTTTTTCCCGCACTTCGATCTCTCTTCACTTTAGTTGGCAACTCCTCGAAAGGAAACACCCACTGAGCAGATTGTCTTTTGGTTTTAGGATCATAACAGTAAATCCAGCTTTCGTCACCTGTTAGTATGTCGAACACAGCATTTGAGTCACCTCCGTTAAATCTTTCAATCATTTTACGACACCAATCCACACGATGGAGTTTTTGAGCCTCAGTCAAATTATGAGGTATCCACCGGGCGCAAAGCTTCCTGACCGCTAAATGTTCGTGGAGGATTTTGTGAACTTGACTCATACCGATGCCTAAGCTTGTCCGAATCTGTTGATAGGTCACTCTTTTGTCAGTCTCTATCATACGCCGCACAACACAGATGTTATCTTCAGTCGTCGCCGTAGAAAGCCGTCCCTCACGTAAATCATCAGTGAGATTAGTGCGACCACGTTTAAACTCATTAAACCAGTTGTAAACAGTCGCACGAGATGGGGCTTCATCGTGAAAGGCCAATCGTAGTCTATCATAACTTTCTTGTTGGCTTAAATGACATCGAAAGTCATAAAAAATCATTGCATGAAAATTTTCTCGTGTTAAATTCATGATGACGTGACACAGACAATTTTCAATTTGCCGCCAAATCGTAAAACAAATGACAAATGAATGAAATATATACTCAGTAATATTGGCAAAGAGTTATATTTTCAAATTTTAGAATTATTTTTTTATTATATTGTTTATAAGTGGCCAGTTCTAAGGACTTTCAGTTTGACCCTCGTATGATAGACATAATTGTCTATTAAGATATAAGATAAATAGAAATCATAGATTATCGTATTTTATCAATTTTGCATTCATAATGCTATATGTAAGGGAAGTTTTAAGCCTTTTTCTTTAAGACTAGAAACCATAAATTTTGTTTCGTCGAAAAACTCTAGAAAATTGTAGATTATTTAGCAAGTACTGTTTAAGTATCTACGATCTGTTTTAGTAACTAAGTATCTAACCACTATATAAGTGAAAGTATACAAGTATCCAACAACTATCATTAAAGAGTTTAAAAAGAGAAAAAGTAAATCAACACTAATCACAAGTGCGGGTTTGCCGCGATTTCTAATTCAATGCTGCAAACGCTTTATCTCTTTGTAACGCTTATCATACTAAACTATCAATGTACAATAAAACACATCTAATTCCCGCAAAGTTCTACTCTTAGGTTCATTTTGTTGTATCGTATACCGCAGCGCAGGTGCGATTTTATGATACCTACTGCACAACTGTTCACTGTTTGAAGGCTCTACTATATATTGAGCATGAAATCTCTCTTAGTACCATGTTGTAAGTTGACTTATGCATAAGTGGTTTCTTATTGCACTCGATAGAAGCAAAAAAAAAATTTTTTTTATTTATTTCACTAAGCGACACCTTCCTCGACGTCGTTGGAATACGAAATGAGAACTTATATGACTAACAGCCAGTTGCACAAACGTCCATTAAAATTGACATTAGTTCAAAGTGCCATTACTCATACAAATTTGACTTTCATTAGAGCTTAAAGGTCATTAAACTTTAAGGACCGTTTGAGTGGACATTTAACTGACCGTAAAACTAAAAAAATGTGTTTCCGAAAGAAAAGTGTAGATAAATTCAATACAATTATAGAAATAAGAGACAGGCTATCGATATAATCAGGCGAAGCTTATCATTCATTTCTAAACTGCTTTCTTATTACACTATGAAGTAAAAGATTCAAATTTTATACAATGGGTACAATTTTAAACAAAAGAATGATGAAACGAGTGCGAATGAATTTCAGGTCATCCATCCGACGGCAGGCTTTTGCGAAATTTAACCAAAAATAATAAAACCAGTAACCAATATAACTTCGAGCTTTTTCGAGCCTACTTATATTTAGGTGATGACGGATGATGTATATAAATTGTGTAAGGGTGTAGAAGTTAGGTCAAACACCTTTGAAAAAGTGGTAAAATGTAATTTAATATGTCATTTTTGGCATGAAATATTCAAAATACCTTAAATTGTGTTTAGTGTAATGTATATTAACACCTACGCGTTCATAACCCCCGATCACCGCACATTAGGCATCGTGCCAAAAAATATCGAGCTACATTCGGGCCAATTGGACACATGTCATGCTAAAGAGGCTCCAAAGTGAAGATACGGTGGGAGGAACATGAGTATTTTTAAAAATAATTATTGATAAAATATTGAAGTTTAATCTAATTAGAATGTATTGCAGAAAAAAAATTGCCAATCTGAAGGTGCTGTTTTGATTACCCTACAATGATAATTCTCAAATAAAATTAAGAGGAGGAGTACTTTTTGAAAGGCATAAACATTTAGAAAAAGATATAGAAAACACCGGACCTAACATTGCTAAAACTAAAAATCAAAATACATATTTTGTACGATATTTACTTCTGAATATTTAGTTATTCTTCTTGGTCTATCTACTTTTAAATTCTTCTATGGATTTTCTCTAAGATTACTATCACTAAAGAACCACTGTTACTTCCCTATATAAGTACTTATATATACTTTACTCTCTGCCTGTTACTACTGTTTAACTTTTATTTGGAGGGGGACACAACCCCCATGCTTATTGCCATCTTGCATTATTTTCATTTTACATGTAGAAATTATGCGTCATGGTAAAGAAAAAATAAATAAAGAAGTCATACCTCATCCATGACTTTTCTTCATTCCATGTTATACGTCATACTGGATAAATATTTGATAGACTGTAAATTACTAATGTAATCCCATAATGCTTCAATTAATACGTCGTATGTAACATAATAATAAATGCCATTCTTGTGTTTCGTCTCAACTCACAACGGGGGAATAAAATGGAAATAGAAATAAACACTCCTAATATTTGTTCCCTTATTTGAATCGCGAGACGGCCTCGACTGCCACAACGATATATCTTATGTTTAAATAGATTTACGTGTAGCGTTCACAGTAATATGTACCTTTATTTTTATAAGGACATTGTATTAAAATAATGACCCAACGGGAATAATAAAAGCTACATATGAAGTTATGAAATTGTAATAATAATATACTTACAGAGGCGCAATAACTTTACGCGTGATATAACTCAGTGTAGCCAGATTTTATTTCAGATAACATAGGGTTCTTTTTTGAGTAACAGATGGTATTTACGTCGAAAAAGGTACAATGTATTTTATTCAGTTTTCGATATATGGTTAGGGATGCAAACGATACATCGATGTTTTAGAAACATCGAGGTATCGCTCATAAACAACGATGTTAACATCGATATTTTTATCAGCGATGTATCGCCGATACATCGTTCATGTTCGGCATAAACATCGACATCGTTGATCGTTGTCTTTTCAGTCGGCTCGCGAACGTAACGCTGATAACACGTCGTTTTGTGCGCATACTTCTGTTTGTTTTCATACGTATTTACTTTGGATTTCCTTTTGGGTAAGTGCAAACTGTTATAATTTTATTCTTTATTTATTTGATGATCAAATCAATTAAAAGGTTGCGAAATGTCGCTTGTTGCGACTTGTGCGTCGGCGGCGCGCGTTCCCCGCCGCCCCCGCAGCGCTGGGTGGGGTTGGTTGGTATTGGTACTTGTGTTTAGCGTGCAAACACGCGCGAAATAACGGCGGGAGTTTTGAGTTGTGGGTTGCTCGCTTTAAAAATAAAGCCAATTTGTAAGGAAAAAAAAAATAATTTAGGTTTATATGGTATTTAACGTAATCAAGTGCCGTACAAATTTTGTAAAAAACTTCATTTATTTTTCTTTTTTATATTAACTAATACTACTTTTTACACAATTTTAAACATTTTTCTTATTTTCTTAAAATATCAGCATCTATTCGTCCGTGTGTCGATCTGTCCCGCTCTCTGTCCATGCGTCTGCTCGTCTGTATGTCTGTTCTGTGTGTAGGTTTTGCATGGTGTAAATTCATACGTTTTAAATTAAGATTTTGATTTTTTTGTAGGTTACAATGCCACCTAATAAATTAAAAAGTAAGATTTGGAACTATTTTAAAAGAACTGGCGACAAAGAAGCTATTTGCAAAATATGCAACAAGAGCCTAAAAACTTCAGGCAATACAACTAATTTGCGTGGGCATTTAGAAAATGTGCATTTGCAGCAACTGGAAGATTTTGATGTTCCCTGCAAAAAGAAAAAACCCAATTCCATAACTGATTTTATGTCCGTAAATGATGTTGCATCACCTGCCCGTGCCCCTGCCAGTAGTGCCAGTACCAATCAAGATAATATTGAACTTTCAAACATCACAACGTCAAACAGTGATGTCAATGTCAATGCTTCGACTAGTTCCAGTGCTGTTAAATATGTATCCTCACTTTCGTCACAAAATTCAATGGCCAGTACATCAAATGTTGTAATTCATCCACAGAAAACTGCTCAGCCTCATGTTGATGATTTCATAAACAACATTAAAAGTATTTCTACACAGGTTGGAGCAAAATCTAAGAAGATTACTGAGGCTATTACCAACTTTATTATAATGGATAATAGACCGTTTTCCACTGTAGAAGGTAAAGGTTTTATACAACTCATGAAAGAAGTGTGTCCGTTATATAAGGTACCAAGTCGAGAGACAATAAAAATGAGGGTTGATGATAAATACGAAGCCATGAGTCATCTTTTTAAAACATATATCACAAATTCTGCCAGCTATTGTATCACGTACGATATTTGGACCGAAACCATGCAAAATAAATCTTTTATTGGTGTTACTATACATTTTTTGGACAAATTTCAACTTCTCAGCGGGACCTTGGGTGTTTTTGAGTTGACCGAAAGCCACACGTCGATGTACATAGCTCAAAAATTAACTGATATTTTAGCCGAGTGGAACGTTTCCATTGAGAAAGTTTCAGCTGTCATCACAGACAATGACAGCACTGTTATGAAGGTCAATCGGGAAATATTTGGAGATAAAAAAAATATTCCCTGCTTTGCTCATACAATCAACTTGGTTGTCGCGAAATCTATTGACGATTCAAAAATATGTACCGAATTAATTGGTAAAGTTCGAGATATCGTAAAATATATTAAAAGGAGCGTTAATGCAAGTGATGAGTTAAGGAAGAGACAAATTGATATGGGATTGAAGCAAGGTCAAATAAAAAAAATGATACTTGATGTTCGCACAAGGTGGAATTCTCATTTCTATATGCTCCAAAGATTCATAGATTTGGTGTCCATTGTAGGAGCAATACTTTTGACTCGACCTGAAGCTCCACCAATGATATCAAGCAGTGAACTGGATTGTGTCAGAGAAATGATAGAATTACTATGCCCGTTTGAAAAAATAACAAAAGAATTCTCTGGAGATAGTTACGTGACGGTAAGCAAAGTAATTCCACTAGTTAGTTGTGTTCGTGAAGTGGTGGAAAACATAAAGCCAAGAAATGAACCAATAGTGCAATTCAAAGCAGAATTGAAGAAACAACTAGCTAAGAGGTTTGATACGATAGAACATTCGTCAATCCTTGCCATCTCTACTACTCTCGACCCCAGGTTTAAGTTCATGCATTTCAAAGATGCCGTGGCCAAGAGCAAAGTAGTAAATTACTTAAATAAATATGCGCGGGAATATGAGAATGAGTCTTTGGCTAAAGCAGGGAGTGACTCCTCTGAGGAATCTGATAAAGATGATGCTGAATTTGACATCTGGAAGTATCACAAGCAGTTAACACACAAAAACATGAAGAATAAATTATCTTCTTCAGTTACGCCAAGTTCCATCAGCGAAACCGAGGTCCAGATGTACCTTTCATCCCCTGTAACACCGATAAAGAGGGATGCCATTGAAATTTGGGAGGACATGAAATCTCTGTTTCCAAAACTCTCTAGGATCGCAATGACATACCTCCCGATCGTTGCAACATCAGTCCCAAGCGAAAGATTATTTTCAGAAGCTGGGGCAACTGTCACTCAAGACAGAAACAGGCTTTTGGGAACAAGGCTTTCCAAGCTTGTGTTCCTCAATTCAATTTCAAGATTTTTGAACTCGAAAAATTAACAATAAAAAAAATAATAACAACATTACTAAATTGATTTTTGAAATAAATATTTTTGCATACTAAAATGTTTTTGTCTTGTTCAACTGGGAATAACTTGTAAAAAATTATTTATTTTATTATTATTTATTAAAGCAAACTTATTGTTATTTTTTAATTTATTTATATTTTATTAATTTAGATTTATTTAACCATATTTCTTGTTACCAATGAATCGTAAGGTAAAAACAAAACATCGATGTATCGTTCTTATGAGTGATGTTTTTTTAACATCGATGTTTTAGTTTGAACGTCGATGTTTTCAAACATCGATGTTTTTAAGAGCGATGTTGCATCCCTATATATGGTTAAGTAGTACGATAGTACTCGTATTCTTTCCTACTCCATAACTGCATAAATAAGAGCAGCGGCTCTACTGTACAATTGCAGCCCTCATTGATCTGTCTAGTTGACAATGCAAATGTCAAGAGATGAATCAGGATAGGGCAGACCAATGCTGATTGGTCTATGAACAGTTGATCTGACAGCCTGAGAGATTATTTAATGGCTTCATGTTTGCGGTACAGCCGTAAGTCAAACCGCGAAACAGACTTTATTATTGAAATGTCGATTTTCAGAGTACACGGGATGGTAGGCGGCAATACCGATAATTGTGGAAAAAAAATCGTATACAGCATATTGTATGAAAATAACTTAAGCAGTTTTGTTTAAAAGATATAGATGTTTAGATCTAGGTATTTAAAACTTATTATATTTTGATTGATTTTGCATTCACAATGCCATACTAAAAAATATTCTTAATACAAAATGCTTAAAAAATCCACTTGGTCCCAGGCACCCTGAGATGGGAATCGAACCCACGACCTTCCGCAATTCGGGCGACTGCTCTAACCGCTGAGCTACCCAGGACCTAACAGGACTGACGAATCTTTCAAGCACTTGTTACTTTTCGCCACTACAGAGCGTATTCTCATCAATGTTCAGGCATCCACCCAAACAGCCGAAAGAATTATTGTTACAAATATTGAAACTTTCGATAAAGATAAGAATTTCGTTCTAATTATTATATTTTGATTTAAAGTTTCGACACTGCAATAAAATAATGTCTTTAACGGACCCGTATTTTCATATCCTTTTTATTTGATAGATAATTTAGCTAATTATTTAGTTTTTTTTAGTGTGTCTAGACACTTATGTTACAATTTTGTTCCTTACAATATTTTTACCCAAAGTATTGAGATATGGTATTATTTTTACGTATGTGAATATGAGAATATATTCTGTATTTATAGGCGTGGGCGTTTATTCTGTGTAACGGAAATAAGTTTACTTAGTAACATAAATTTAACAAGGCAACTGTACGGTTAAGACCTTTACTTATTATTAGAATACCTATTCAATGTATTGTACATTCCGGTAATGGAACAAAGTTCTACGTCGAAAAATTTTTCCTTTATAAGTAAGTATTGAAAGATTTTAATCAACTTCCTTTATCTTTGTGCCGCAAAAGTAGCCATCCTTTAAATTGTGTCGCTAAACTGATTTGATTTTATTTGGATCGAGCAAATTTAATTTGTAGGCAAAAAATGGTGTTGTTTTTTAAAATACATTAGACTGTTATATCAGTATAATTATTTATATCTGTAGATAAAACCTTTTTCTATACTAATCAGACACTCTAACCAAATAAAACTGAATTGGTAAATGTGTTTGCCAAGCGCAAAACTCGGAAACGGCTGTTTCAATTCTGCTAATTCTTTTTATGTGATTTTCTTTGAAGTCAGAAATAGGTTTTAAAGGGAGAAAAGAAATTGGAAATAAATTCTGTTTAAATTAAAAACCTTATCACTCACAGCATTTCGTACCAGACCTTTGTACAAAGACAACTTAAAATGTGTAATATACACATAAAATTTCACGAGAGATTGTTTTTGAACATATGTACTCGTGTAAAAAAATTTCAATTTCTAGATGAACAGCTGTTTTATCACGACTTCATCCACGTAAGTTATAGCTTAAATTACCGACATTGGATGTTCGCTACGCTTCCCGTAAGTGCTAGGATTTTTAAAATAGGTTCAGTAGTTCGGAGCTTAATCAATGCAAACAAACAAATCCAAAATCAAAATTTTCTTCTTTATAATATTATAGATAGACAAATCAACAATTCTTATATACAAGCGAAGTTAATAGCCTAACAAATACATGACCGAGGTGGAAAGCTACTTCAAACAACGTCTGGTGCTGGGGCACATGCCTTTGCTGTCGTCGGAATTAAATAGAGATTATCAGCTATAAGATACCACGCGGCATTGACGGGTGTCAACGACAGCACATGCAGCTGGGACCAAGTTTCCCAGCATAGAGAAGCTAATCAATAATTGCTCGACCATTCTTAAAGATGCTTAGCTTTTCTGTCATTGAGTACTTAAAAATATAGTTAAATATTTAGAATGATATAATAACAGTTTACCACTTGCGTTATAATATACTACAAAACAAAGTATGTCTATTTCAGTGCGATTTACTTTGCCGAACGGATCATCGTGCTGCTTTCGCCAATAGACAGATAAAATTATGAAAAAAGTTTTAATGATGAATGAAAATACAAAAAAATATTGGGAGTATATTACGTGTTGATAAGCCGTGATAGCATAGCTAAATAGAATGAATAGCTTTTAAATGTTTTCAGTTTTGCGTTCGGCGTTGAAAATCTGTTTTTTCATTCATTTGTTGAAATGCAAGAAAGAGTTAAAAAAACTACTACTACATACGCTATGTTTCAGGACCACTGTAACTCTTCATTAAAAATAAGTTTCGCTCTCCTTTCGACTGCGCTTATTGTACTAAATACCTACTCTCTCTGTTATATCCAGCACTCCTCTACCAAGAATTTTCAATAAGCACTTATTTCATCATTTCAAAAGAAAACGTTACAATAAAGCTACATTACATGACCATTTCTAATTTTTGCATGTAACTCATAATAATTTTTAAAATTGCCCGCTGAGAGGGACCCATGAAACGCACAGCGGGCATGTTTCCAGATAATCCGGCAATAATAAAAGATACTCGGAATAAAATTAACGTTCGCATTTTGAACTCGAAACATCTGTTCAGGGCTGAGCAACATGTTGAGATTGTTCCGCACCGTTTACCTGAAACAAGAGGTTATTTTATAAATTAGTACGGGTTGTAGCCTGGATACGGTGAATACCGTTTGTAAGACTACTGTACTCGTATGTCAATACAGAATTTAAATTGGCTTTTGAACAATTCCTCGTAGTGAAATGTGGAAACTATTTGATGGTTTTCGAATGTTTTAAACTAATTGAATGTACTCGTTTCCAACAAAAACAGTTTTATTTAATTAAATTTCTTGTTTTCGTTTATTTAAAAATATTTTATTCCAAAATATCTTTTGAGGAGAGTTCAATTGCACAGTGGTTAGCATGTATTAGCGCGACTTCGTTTAAGCAGATGAATTTTTCCAAATTTTTCTTAACCATAATTTATTACATCGTTTACATAAGTTCTACACGTTAAGCAGTTAGTTGGTCCCGGCAGCATCTGCTATCCTTAACACCATCATTTTCAGTGGGCCAGCGTCGTGTTTTTGGTTTGTTCTTCATAAGTGTTACAGTGGGGCATTGAAATAGGCTCCTCCAGTGCCTCAGCACGGACGCACCGGTCGAACGATACGCAACGCATTGCACGGATTTGTAGATGTCATACGTCTACTGCAGTCGCATCTTTTATAGATGCATCTATGAAAAATGGGACTGTCAGATTTGACCTCGGAATTTTTAACAGAATCCGTTGCTTGACGTTCGGTTTGTCGATAAATAAGCTCATAACTAAGATGTTTGATTGTGGCTTTTCCTCCTCTTTGAACCTTTTTTATTTGTCTCCCAAATGCCAGCCTATTATATTTAAAAACATTTCCAATCCATTTCATTTCATAGGCAATCGTCTACTGAATATTGGAAAAAAATTTACGGTACCTACACGAATTGAACAATAAGTGTAACTTCGTAAATAATTTCTTAAATGAGTTCGGAGGCTTTTAAATTTATTTTAATGTTTCAGATCCTTTGTTAGTCTTAAGTCTTTATATATTTTTTATTACTTTAAACAGTTGCCGCCTGATAATTTTACTGGGCACAATTTTATCAAAAGAAAAATCAAGAATAATTACAAAAGAAATCCAATAAAGTTAAATAAAACGAAATGTAAATTACCTACATTTTTATTAAAGAAATCTCTCTCTCTCTCTCTGGCCTTTTTCAACCGCTAAGGTGTAGGCCTTCCTCAGTCTCTGCCATCTTCTCGGTCTTGAGCAGTCTCCATCTATTTTGTTCTCACCAGTCTTTTGATGTCGTCATGCCAAAATCCGAAGAGCCGAAATCGATTTAAATTTAGATTATATTTTTTTTTATATAAAGATAAAATGATATGAATATAAAAGGAATAAGGTAGTAATTATCGAGCTCCTCATATCATACCAAATGGTTTTGAAAATTTGAATCTTTAAATCGTGTACTTTTTACTGCTATACAGATTAAATAATTTAATAATTAATTTGGATGTCGATTCATATCATGACACGAATATAATTAAAATACCGAATTGAATAGTTAAAGATGGTTACTATGGTAACGTTTTAACACTCCCAATTTCATCCCTTTATTAGCTGATTTTCGATATAAAATATAGCATATGATGTAGCTTTTCGTAGGTGAAGCAATTTTTCAAATCGATCCAGTAATTTCGGAGACAAACAAACAATTAAATCTTATCTCATTATAATGTTAATAAATACGTGCTGTTAACTGTAGAATTAGTTGTGCTGGTTGCAGACCTTTCCTTGTTCAAGGGGTTTATATTATTAAAAGATATCTAAACTTATTAGTGAATTAATTGTGTAATCAAAAAAACTCTTTAATATTAGTATTGTTATAGTTTGACTCAAATATTTCCAGCCTAAATAAGAGCGAAATCT